CCCGTGCTACTTGGAACTTTGTTCCAGGTAGCGAATCTTAAACAACAACAACTATCTAGTCATTTCTTGCTGTCCTGTGAGAGAGATTGTGGTAACACCTGTGTTCTCTGGCAGTCTCTCTCTCATTCTCTATGTTTACGAGGTCCGCTTATTAATCCAACACTCTGTATAAACAATTATTTCTCCTTTCTATATACATTGTAGGAATGCTGACTCAAGTAGTTCGTATTTCATGCTGATCTGTCTTCATTTACATCAAGTGCTGCCTTACGTTGACGTGGTTCCAAGGATCAATGTCCCTGCAGCCTAGTTAGTTTGTGGTCTGTTCAACCAGGTTGTTTGACGCCGCTGCATGCACTCTTGTGAATTGCAACCCGGTAGAAATCCATGGTTCGTGAAGCCTCCATATGTACCTGATTTATATTAAGAAAGTTAAAGTTCCCTGTTATCAGTATACTAGATTTTACCATTCTGTGTCAGTTGAGTTATAACTCTCCCTTCTTGCTTGCAGGTCGGTGTTCAATCCCCGACCGTCCAAGAAGCTGGGCACCATTCCTTTCCTCCATCCTATCCCAAATCCTTATCCTCATGTCATAAGAACATAAGAACAAAGGCAACTGCAGAAGGCCTATTGGCCCATACGAGGCAGCTCCAATATCCCTTCCAAGTGTTAAATAGTCGTAATGACTTAATGCTTTCTCCTAATAATCACCATAAATCACTCAGCCATGGGTTATTATAAGGTGAAGGTGTCAGTTACGTGTGTGGCGTCTTATAGCTGGGGATTTTATCGTGAAAATCTCTTTTGTTGACCAGACCACACACTTGAAGGTGAAGGGACGACGACGTTTCGGTCCGTCCTGGACCATTCTCACCATCAACTTGAGAATGGGCCAGGAGGGACCGAAACTTCGTCGTCCCTTCACCTTCTAGTGTGTGGTCTGGTCAACATATTTCAGCCACGTTATTGTGACTCATCGTCTGCAAAATCTCTTTTGTTAAAAGTTTCGTATGACAAGATTTGTCATACAAAAGTCACTGATATGGATTTGCTTCTCAACATGTTTTGCATTTTAATATCTAATAAAACGTGAAGATATCTCGTTGTATCCTAGGCTATCATGATATCTATTATGAACTCTTTTTACCATATCTGTTATCAAATCCATTATCACGATAATTATTAAATTAATTATTTTAGTTTATTCTCGTTTCTTGATTCCCTATATGCAAAAACTGCCTTCGAAATTTTTACATTTTTTCTTTACAATGGAAATATACAATGACAGTTTACCTGTCTAAGCAACAATTCAAGGTGACAATCAATCATGCCTGCTAAACTAAGCAAGTATACAGTTATATCACTTAAAAGCGTTAAGTGTTACTTAAAGCAAAGTCCGGAGACAAGTGATTGATTGATTGATTGATAAAGATTAAGTCACCCAAAAGGTGGCACGGGCATGAATAGCTCGTAAGTGGTGGCCCTTTTGAGCCATTACCAGTATCAAGAGCTGATACTGGAGATCTGTGGAGGTGCGACTGCACCCTGCGTGACGGGAGATGTCTCCCGTGAGACAAGTGACTTTAGCTCTCAGGTATGGAGCTAACGAGGCGAGGTAATTGTGGCTTCAGGTGATTCGAGACTAGATAGTGGGAGGTAGTTATACACAATAACTACCAGAGATCGAGATGTCGTGGCAGCAAGGCGCGAAACATAACTTGCAAGAGCTGGCATTCCACTTGGCGGGCCTCAGCTAACGCTAGGCTGTTTACCTCCTGAATCTGTGGAGGGAAATGTGAATCTCTGGAGGGAAATGTGAATCTCTGGAGGGAAATGTGAATCTTTGGAGGGAAATGTGAATCTCTGGAGGGAAATGTGAATCTCTGGAGGGAAATGTGAATCTCTGGAGGGAAATGTATGTTTGTTGATTGTACATTACAGCCTAACGTTGCTGTATCTCCTTCGTGTTCCTAGCAGCCTTCGGCTGTTTTTGTTCTCCTGTATATTTTTTTTAATGCTCCAAGCTGTCTTTGGCTGTTTGGTAAATGAGATGGTGGGAAGAAACATTCCATATTTATAGTCAAATTACAGTCTTTGTATAACTGTATCTCTTTTGTGTTTCAAGTTAAATTTTTTTATCTTGTTTCAGACACAGGAGATGCTAATGTTGCTGTAGCAATAGTAAATTTATATCAATTTTTATTTTTAATGTTCATATCCAATGTCTCGTATTTGTATCTGTAATCAGAAGGTGCTTAACAACAGCAAGTATCTTTTACAGGGATATATATTCTAATGCTTTCATTAATAGCTTTCATCTTCCTTGGAGAGTTAGTGTGTAATTCTTTGTATATCTAACCTAACCTAACCTAACCTCTCTGTCTCTGTCTCTGTCTCTGTCTCTCTCTCTGTCTCTCTCTCTCTCTCTTTTCATCTCTTCCACTGTCACGTCTCTTCCGGCAATGTTATCTCCAGCTCATTCGGTCATCAAACTCTGTCTCTGGTAATTTTGAGACGAGCGTTGATGCTATCCTCTGCGTCCTTTGAAGTTTCCTCAAGAAACTTCAAAGGAAGTTTCCAACTTCCTTTGAAGTTGTCTGCTTTGTGAGGGACACACCGTTCCTCCTCGACTGTCACGTCACTCAAATGGCCTTGTTCCCGTCTGTGAGACGCTTTGTCTTGTATTCTAGATTGACCTAACATGATTTCCCTTAGTTTAGTCTGGTAGGCTCTTCCCAAAGGGGCTGCATACTATGGGATTGGTCTCATTTAGGTGGTATACTGAGAGCTGAAAGCCTCCTTATTGAGCTTCCTGAATGCTGTCTTGATCAGTTCAGAGTCTACTGCTGATGTGTTATATATAATATGATAAAGTTAGTCATTATATATTTGGGGTTTTGGCACAGCCTATTGCGCCACGGAGAGCCCCTCTCATTCTTCAGTCAAAATCCAAGTAGTACCACAGTACATAGGTGGTATAGGAGTACACATGTGTAACACAGAGGATGACAGGTGTGTGGTATAGGAGTACACATGTGTAACACAGAGGATGACAGGTGTGTGGTATAGGAGTACACATGTGTAACACAGAGGATGACAGGTATGTGGTATAGGAGTACACATGTGTAACACAGAGGATGACAGGTGTGTGGTATAGGAGTACACATGTGTATCACAGAGGATGACAGGTGTGTGGTATAGGAGTACACATGTGTAACACAGAGGATGACAGGTGTGTGGTATAGGAGTACACATGTGTAACACTGAGGATGACAGGTGTGTGGTATAGGAGTACACATGTGTAACACTGAGGATGACAGGTATGTGGTATAGGAGTACACATGTGTAACACTGAGGATGACAGGTGTGTGGTATTTCAAAGTTTGTTTTGGACTTCATTGACAACCCTAAACTTCCAGCTTCCTTTTTCAGCGCCTCAGTTTGGCGAACCAGAGAGGAAACTAATGCCGGGTCATCCCAGGCATTAAGCAAATTGTAGGGATTTTAAGATTTAATAACATTACATGAAACTTTGTACTGTTTTTTGGTGCTATTGATCCTGAATTCACTTAACCACTTGGCGCTGAACGGTAGAGCGACGGTCTCGGTTCATGCTGGTCGGCGTTCAATCCCCCGACCGTCCACAAGTGGTTGGGGCACCATTCCTTTTCCCCCGTCTAATCCCAAATCCTTATCCTGACCCCTTCCCAGTGTTATATAATCGTTATGATTTGGTGATTTCTCCTGATTTCAGAATTCAGCCAGAAATAGTATTTTAAAGTTCATGAACATGGCTGTAAGGTGTGAATTTTTTTTTTACCTGTGATGCGGCAGTGAGTATGAAGTGATTAGACTTTCTGGTGCGTCTGGGGTATTGACAGGAACTTGTTAAGTTTGGAACTTGCTAAAATTGGACAAGTTAGGTAGAACTTTTGGCAGGATGTATAAAATTCTTCTGCCTTGGATTTTGTAATACTTTATATTTGATCTTGTAATAAAAAGCCGACGTTTGAGGCTGACAAATTATATTAGATATATGGTTCTTGGGGGTCTGAGACACTGACGTGTTAAATGTTTCTTAGTCAGGTCTACTTGTTAGGTTTCAGACTCAACCTGGTGTCCTGTGTCCGCTTGTTTCCCTCTGGTTAATGGAGGATGTTTGAATGTCTGGGATACTGTTAAATACGTTACCTGGGATACTGTTAAATACCTGTTACTTGTTATACTGTTACCTGGGATACTGTTTCTCAGATACAGATTCTCTGGGAGGGAGGGGGGGGGGGAAGGATTGTAAATTATTTACCTTACAATCACTTTATTTTCCTGGTGCACATCTCTCATTATCTTGTTTTTCAGGGTTCATTTGTTATCCACCTATGTTCCACTCTCCCTTCACCCACTGTTGGTGGAAGTTGCTACCCAGGAAACACAAACCGAAACTCTCTCTATTTTCCGCTTGTTACAACTTGTAATAAAGTTGTTACATCTTGGCTTAACGTGTTTATGACGTATTAGAACGTTGTTACAACTTGCTATATTGGGTGTTATAACTGGTTAGGTGTTAAAAAACTTGTACCAACGTCGTAATTTCGGTGTGTTTGCCGGGTACTGACATGACACAAGACTCCACCCAAATATACAATATGCAGTCCAAGTGATTTTAGCATTTATACATTTTATATAATTGTGAACCAGGAACAGTAACCACCTACACTGAACTGATCTTTAATGGGCTTAACTTTAATGGATATCCAGCTGCAAGATATCCATTGAAATTTGGATATGAAGCTTGAAATTTGTAATTTAAAAGTTTATCAATTGGAATATTTTTATGGTCATTTGGGCGATACTTTTTATCACAAGTGATCGTGTTCCGGACAACAATAAAATGTTAGTAGGATTCCTCCCGGACAGGCTCCCATCTCATCATTATGTGCATAACCTCGATAGTCAACCAAGACATTATTCAGTCATCCTAGCTGTTGGGGATTAACATGACATGTATTTACAAGAAACATTTATTTATCGACAATAAAACTACAGCTGTATCAGCAGAAATAATAACAATACAAGCAAAACTGAGTTCTTACTGACACAAGACATGACAGCATAAGTGAAATGTTTAATGCCTAAACATATTTTTGCAACCTTCAGTTTATAATAATGAAAAATATGTATGAAATTTACATAAGTACGCTTATGTTCACTTCTATATACAAATCTCAAGCAGTGGATCATTGTCAATAAAGAAATTTGTGATAACTGCCTTAATCAAATTGACTATCAGAGTGGAAAATTTGGCAAATTGTTTAAATTAAAACCTCCAATCTTTTATATTACTTCAAACTGCACAGAGAAAGTGACCTATCTTGAGAGTGTAGACTAAATTAGGTCATGCGACCAATGTCAAATGTAAACAATATTTTAGTTCGATCAAAACATTTCGCTCAAAAGGAGGAAGGACATCCCCAAACATCTGGCCCCACTACCAAAGTCATTCTGACTTAGGATACACCATTAATAAAAATGCTTGTATATATATAGCACATGGGAGGCTTGGAGGTATTAATTACCATGTTGATGTGAGGAAATATAGTATGTCAAAATTATATGTTTTATGTTAATGAGTGACAAGTTCTAGGCCAAGATCATGTTAATGGGTGACAAGCTGTCAAAATTATGTTGTAAGCTGGTCACTCTTCATTTAAGTCAAAATCATGTTATGTCAATGGAGAGTAACAAGCTAACAAGGTCATACAGTAATATTGTGACGACCAACATGGCTCCTTAATAATGTAATGAATTCAAACATGAACTACACAAAATTTGAGCATCATACAATGACTTACGTGGAATAAATTTGTTGTATGCACATAACTCATCGATGTAGTAATGCATTTATAAGTTAATTGTCAACTAATCTATATATACCCCCATTCGCATGTGTGCTCTCACACACACACACACACACATTTATATAATATATATATACATATAATTTTTTCATAAAACATCTTAAAAACTACCTAAGATAGTCCATATAACAATATTTGAAACAAAATAAGTAAATATGGAGGTATCTTAATTTACACTTATTCTGAAATGTTAAAGATCAAAAGGTAACTCTAAATTCTTCATTAGATTTCACAATAAGTATATACAACTGAACCTCTAAACGAGAATCGTTTTAATGGTTTTCCATGACTGCAAATTCCAAAGATTTGAAATGTTTGCCGTGCAAAGAATAACTCGGAATGTGGCTGAAACTCTCAACCCAGCACAAACAAATCTGAAATGGAAAATGATATTTCGTCCATCCTGGACCCTCTCAAGTCCTGGACCCGGTCAAGTCCTGGACCTGGTCAAGACCTGGTCAAGTCCTGGACCTGGTCAAGTCCTGGACCTGGTCAAGACCTGGTCAAGTCCTGGACCTGGTTAAGTCCTGGACCCGGTCAAGTCCTGGACCTGGTCAAGTCCTGGTCAAGTCCTGGACCTGGTTAAGTCCTGGACCCGGTCAAGTCCTGGACCCGGTCAAGTCCTGGACCCGGTCAAGTCCTGGTCAAGTCCTGGACCTGGTTTAGTCCTGGACCCGGTCAAGTCCTGGACCTGGATGAAGCAAAATGTCGTCATTTCACGTGTGTGTTGTGCTGTATGTTTACAGAGTTAAAACTCATTATGCAGAACAAGGTAAACGTTGAACACTAACATGCGTTTAGCAATGTGCATGTTGCATTCAAATTGAGCTTCGACAGTTTAATAGTCGTACACAGTAAAGGAAAGTCGTTAAGCTCAAACATTCATCATCGAGCCTACGGGAGCCGACCCAAGATGAATATGCTTCAGTTCGCACTGATGCAATAAAAATGTTTTTTTTTATGAAGGGTGATAGATGATAGGGTGAGTGAGGTTATGAAGGGGTAGGGCAGACAGGTAGCCTCGGATTCTCCCTGCTAGGAGCCACAGATCACCTACCTGTCTGCTTTCGATATCTGTACCTCTTACCTTCCTCAAAATGATATCAACTGCTTAGTGAATACGAGCTACGAAGCGCTACGAGATCGTCCTCAAACCAATTTAATATCGAGGAGAACCTCGAAGTGTTGCATATCCCGTCAGCAGGACTGGAAGTGCTTGGCAATTCCTGACCTGGTCCTTAAGTGACTCATGTCTTCAACAGTAGGCCTACGCCATGGCCTATACACATTATGGTATAGAATATAAAAAGTATGTACATTAAGGAGACTGGTCCTCTACTGGCACTCGCTGACGCCTCTCATGGCACCTTGAGAAGATACAATTAAATATATATTGACTGAGAATGGCACTGTTCAAGGTAATGATTACAAATTATAATAACAATGATATTTACCGTTGCAATATCACAATGTCACTGGCAGGCACAGCTCAAATGAACAACAATATTTAAAAATAACAAATATATATGATAGCCACACCATTTCATTATATATATATATGATAATGTACATGGCCAGATGACCTGCGCTAAATACGAGCAATGCTTCAATGAATCTCATATCACCGGAAAATACCGACGCCACCAAATTAAAATATCAGGTCAACTTGTCATGCAAGGTCAAGTTAGAGGTCAAAGTTGAGCTAATATGCTGGGCTCATTAGCATATCAGACCAAATAACCTTCTCTCAAACCCTTATTAACACAAGAAATTTAATACATCTTGAGCATATTCACTTTATAAACAAATATACATGACATCAAGAAAATATTCCCGAGGTTGTAAAATGGTATCGAACCTGCATCCCCGAACTCCCCAGAGACGCAGATTCGATCCCATTCTACAGCCACAACATTTTCTCATCGGTATATCGCCTTCCGTTGAATTTGTGTATACATATCAGCCATAATCACCTGCAACTTGCAACAATTGCAATGTATGACGTAACAATGTGCAGTGGTTGAAGGCAGCGATAAAAAACTGCACTCTTCTTGGATATTTATATTGACCATATCGATGTATATTAACACTGCCTGAGTTATGTCTGTACACATTTTTCACTCTAGTCACTCAATCTCGTCACCGTGTATTTGTATTCACTCCAACTCATTACACACACACACACACACACACACACACACACACACACACACACACACACACACACAGCACCCATGCACCCAACCCAGCAACTCTGTACCCAAAACGTACTTCACACTTAAATATTAACACTCCACACCCACAGCAGCCTGTAATACGCCTTTCACACTGCCACACTCCACAGCCTCTCTCACTGACCAACACTTGCACAGACAAGTAGGTCTGTAACTATTAAATAAGTACGACTATCCACACTGCCAAACATCTGTCGATGTGGTGGAAATCTAAGCTTATTGGATATCTATATACAAGGAAACTTATTTATTTACAAAAATATATATATGTATGTATATATTTACACAACTTTCATTTAGTCCAACAATATTTTAATTGCTTATGGACACCAAGTTAATTTTTTCCATTCCCAAAGTACTCCATCACAACAAAAACACTTTACGTTATTTTGACGTAAACATTGCAATAACGTTGTACAGTGAAATGACATTAACGTGATGTATCAATGAGAACATCAGTAGGATCTGTAAGGAGGATTCGAACCTACGCTCTGGTGTTCCCAAGCAAACGCCTTAGACCACTACACTATACGTTGTGATGTAGTTATCTATGGTGTTTGGGAGTACCCTGAGTATAGGTTCGAACCCCCCTCCCCCTTCTCACCGCAATAACGTTGCTACAACGTTGTGATTACATTTTGTTTGTCGAGGTAAAATTTTTAAATGAAAAATGTCTCAATGTCATAGGGACTCACGATTCCAACAAGCTTCACTTATTTGCGAAAATTTTCCAAGAAACCCGAAAATTTTACACATCGAACACAATCGACTTGAGAATGGTCCAGGACGGACCGAAACGTCGTCGTCCCTTCACCTTCCAGTGTGTGGTCTGGTCAGCATACTTCAGCCACGTTACTGTGACTCATCGCCTGCAAACACAACGTTGTATCAACATTAAGTTACAACGTAAAACAAAAATACCGTTGTGATTATGTTGTTGGGTACGAGAATGGACTCTTGAGTTACTCTGAAAATCCACGCAAATTGCAGGTGCCATCGCTAAATCCTCCGTAATTGGTGGCTGGGGAGACCGCTTTGTTACACAGGATACTCTCATGGAGTTGAGAGCTGTTGGGAGTGTCCTCCCTCGTGGCGCCGTTGGTGAAGCTTGTAGCTGTGTTGGTGGTGGTGGTGGTGGTGGTGGTAGCGTGGTGTTGCATGGCCGGGGCTGTTGCAGGACTCAAGTGTTGAGTGCTGGTTATCAAGTTGGTCAGTGGGATGGACTGTGGACTTGGTCTGGGGTTCAAGGGACGCGTCTCCATCGATCTCTCACAGTCCGTACGTCCGTTAATGGTCGAACAGCGCCGAGGGCCACAGGATATTACCTTGCGGAACGCCTTTCTGTTAGGAGGAGGGGAAAAAAAGAGAGAAACTCGTGACAACCAGATTTAAAACTTTAATATTATTAGATTTATGTGTTACCGTCTATCATTGGTGACCACTGCACCCATGATCGTCTATCATTGGTGACCACCGCACCCATGATCGTCTATCATTGGTGACCACCGCACCAATGATCGTCTATCATTGGTGACCACCGCACCAATGATCGTCTATCATTGGTGACCACCGCACCAATGATCGTCTATCATTGGTGCGGTGGTCACGGTACTGTGTACGTTTAGGGGTGATCCTGGACGGCACGGGTTCGAATCCTGGCCGGGTCAAAGAGTTCTTAATGATCTATGGCTTGCGCGTTCATGAAGCTTTCTCACATACATATATAATATTATATTTAAGGAGGAGGATCTTGTGGCAGAGTGAACAGGACTCAAGGGTCATAGCCCTAAGGGATCGGGTTCGATTCCCGGCCAAGGCATAAATCCCGGCCAGAGTTTCAGTCAGTAGGGAGCCGGTCGGCCGAGCGGACAGCACGCTGGACTTGTGATCCTGTGGTCCTGGGTTCGATCCCAGGCGCCGGCGAGAAACAATGGGCAGAGTTTCTTTCACCCTATGCCCCTGTTACCTAGCAGTAAATAGGTACCTGGGAGTTAGTCAGCTGTCACGGGCTGCTTCCTGGGGGTGGAGGCCTGGTCGAGGACCGGGCCGCGGGGACACTAAAGCCCCGAAATCATCTCAAGATAACCTCAAGATAACCCCCCTTCCTTCTGAGGAGCAGTGGTCACAGCACGGCACATGCGTGAGTGAGAATGTTATCGGGGCCGCGCGAGACAGCGAAGACCGTACCGATCACAACGGTACGGTCTTCGTACCGATCACAACGGTACGGTCTTCGTACCGTTGTGAAACCGGCGTCCATCTCTCCACTGCTAGAGATGGACCCCGGTGTCAACATACGGGCTCCAGGCGGGGGAAGAATGACAGCCACTAGAGCCCTATCTTGAGGTTATCTTGAGGTTATCTTGAGGTTATCTTGAGATGATTTCGGGGCATTAGTGTCCCCGCGGCCCGGTCCTCGACCTCCTTTTTGTTACACATCCCCAGGAAGCAGCCCGTAGCAGCTGACTATCTTCTTCTTGAGATGATTTCGGGGCTTAGCGTCCCCGCGGCCCGGTCCTCGACCTCCTTTTTGTTACACATCCCCAGGAAGCAGCCCGTAGCAGCTGACTATCTTCTTCTTGAGATGATTTCGGGGCTTTTTAGTGTCCCCGCGGCCCGGTCCTAGACCAGGCCTCCACCCCCAGGAAGCAGCCCGTGACAGCTGACTAACACCCAGGTACCTATTTTACTGCTAGGTAACAGGGGCATAGGGTGAAAGAAACTCTGCCCATTGTTTCTCGCCGGCGCCCGGGATCGAACCCGGGACCACAGGATCACAGTCCAGCGTGCTGTCCGCTCGGCCGACTAACTCCCAGGTACCTATTTACTTCTAGGTGAACAGGGCCATCAGGGTGAAAGAAATTCTGCCCACTTGTTTCCGCCTCCTCCGGGGATCGAACCCGGAACCTCGGGACTCATCCTAAGCGCTGTCCAATCAGCAGTCAGGCCCCCAGCAGTAGGCGAGGACCTTGTCCATAACAGGAAATGTAGATGTTTATCTCTCAGATGTTTGGTATTGCTTGTGATGTGTGTCTATGTATGTATTAACACGATGTACTGAACGGGGTGAGAATAGCTTGAGCTACCTCACAAGCCAAGCCTGGTCTCGGGCCGGGCTTGGGCAGTAGAAGAACTCCCAGAACCCCATGAAGAAGGTATCAACCAGGTACCTCCCCGCCAAACACACACCGAAACTACGACGTTGGTACAACGTTCGAACAAGTTTTAACACCACCTAACCAGTTATAACAACCAATATAGCAAGTTGTAACAACGTTCTAATACGTCATAAACACGTTAAGCCAAGATGTAACAACTTTATTACAAGTTGTAACAAGCGGAAAATAGAGACAGTTTCGGTTTGTGTTTCCAGGGATCATCCCTTTGTGTGTATTTTACCTCAATAAACATATTTCAATTTTAATTTGCCCATAACAACGACAATTTAGTTTCGTTGTATAAACAGAATCACACACACATTGGAACCTCCTACCTGAAGGGGTGAGAATCGTACCTGAAGGGGTGAGAATCGTACCTGAAGGGGAGAGAATCCTACCTGAAGGGGTGAGAATCCTACCTGAAGGGGTGAGAATCCTACCTGAAAGGGTGAGAATCCTACCTGAAGGGGAGAGAATCCTACCTGAAGGGGTGAGAATCCTACCTGAAGGGGAGAGAATCCTACCTGAAGGGGTGAGAATCCTACCTGAAGGGGTGAGAATCCTACCTGAAGGGGTGAGATTCTTACCTGAAGGGGTCAGAGAGGAAGGCGTAGAGGATAGGATTGACACAGGAGTTGATGTAGGCGAGGACCTGCCCCGCGATTTGCATGATGATATTGAAGGTGGTCATCTCGTACATATTAAGGGACTTGAGCAACAGAACAAGCTGTTGAGAAGAGATGGGGGAACCACTGTGGTGACTCTGCTCTCAGCTGGACATGATTAAATATGCAGGCGATGAGTCACAATAACGTGGCTGAAGTATGTTGACCAGACCACACACTAGAAGTTGAAGGGACGACGACGTTTCGGTCCGTCCAATCGACTTGAGAATGGTCCAGGACGGACCGAAACGTCGTCGTCCCTTCAACTTCTAGTGTGTGGTCTGGTCAACATGATTAAATATGCTATTAAAGATAAAGTAATTAAGAGGAGTAATCACTTAACCAGTACGGCTATATAGCATCAATAAGGGATGTGAAGACATGGCCTCTTAGGCCATGTCAGGAAGACATGAGAAGGAAGACACCTTCCTTCTGACCTCTTAGCAAAGAGGTCAGAAGGAAGGAAAGACCGACCTCTTGAACCATTGCGGGACTGAAAACTCATCTGGAAGAAGGGAGCAGTATCCGTGGCTATCAATAAATCGATATGTATGTAGATCATATTCATAAAAACACATTACACAGTTAAAATGTAATGTAATTAAAGTATAATTAAAGTGATCATTTTGTCATTATGTGGAGACGTTTGGGCAACTTTGGAAACATTAGCAGTAAAACTATAGAAACTATAAAACTATATAAAACTATATATATAGTCTTCAGCTATATATTCCCCCTCGCTAAGCCCCGTTTACATTATGCAGTTCAGTTTAGGTCGCTGAACTACAGAATGGGAGATAAATTCACGTGAACTCGAACAGAGGAGAATGTGAACCTTAGACATGTACGAATGAATTATGGTTCATATAAAAAGGAGCTGCCTCGTATGGGCCAATAGGAGCTGCCTCGTATGGCCCAATAGGAGCTGCCTCGTATGGGCCAATAGGAGCTGTCTCGTATAGACCAATAGGAGCTGCCTCGTATGGACCAGTAGGAGCTGCCTCGTATGGGTCAATAGGAGCTGCCTCGTATGGGTCAATAGCAGCTGCCTCGTATGGGCCAATAGGAGCTGCCTCGTATAGACCAATAGGAGCTGCCTCGTATGGACCAGTAGGAGCTGCCTCGTATGGGTCAATAGGAGCTGCCTCGTATGGGTCAATAGCAGCTGCCTCGTATGGACCAATAGGAGCTGCCTCGTATGGGCCAATAGGAGCTGCCTCGTATGGACCAATAGGAGCTGCCTCGTATGGACCAATAGGAGCTGCCTCGTATGGACCAATAGGAGCTGCCTCGTATGGACCAATAGCAGCTGCCTCGTATGGGCCAATAGGAGCTGCCTCGTATGGACCAATAGCAGCTGCCTCGTATGGACCAATAGCAGCTGCCTCGTATGGACAAATAGCAGCTGCCCCGTATGACCAATAGCAGCTGCCTCGTATGGACCAATAGCAGCTGCCTCGTATGGGCCAATAGCAGCTGCCTCGTATGGGCCAATAGCAGCTGCCTCGTATGGGCCAATAGCAGCTGCCTCGTATGGACCAATAGCAGCTGCCTCGTATGGGCCAATAGGAGCTGCCTCGTATGGGCCAATAGGAGCTGCCTCGTATGGGCCAATAGCAGCTGCCTCGTATGGACCAATAGGAGCTGCCTCGTATGAACCAATAGGAGCTGTCTCGTATGAACCAATAGGAGCTGCCTCGTATGGGCCAATAGGAGCTGCCTCGTATGGGCCAATAGGAGCTGCCTCGTATGGACCAATAGCAGCTGCCTCGTGTGGACCAATAGGAACTGCCTCGTATGGACCAATAGGAGCTGCCTCGTATGAACCAATAGCAGCTGCCCCGTATGGACCAATAGCAGCTGCCCCGTATGAACCAATAGCAGCTGCCCCGTATGAACCAATAGCAGCTGACCTGTATGGACCAATAGACCCTATGCAGTGCCCAGGTAACCAAGTACCCAAGAATACCTGAATAGGGAACCAGCAGACGATGAAGGTGACGACGACGATGACGACCATCCTTGTGACCCTCTTCTTGCCGCGTACACTCTCAGCACTGCGGCTCCCGCCCAGCGACACGCCGTACCATAAGCGGTTGAGAATCATTAAGTAGAGTACCACGATCACCGTCAATGGCACGAAGTACATGGTGGTGATGAAGCCGATCTGTGGGGGGAGAACGAGGCTGTTGTAGTTGTGGTGTGGTGGTGGAGGCCTGGTCGACGACCGGGCCGCGGGGACGCTGAGCCCCGGAAACACCTCAAGGTAGGTGGTTATGATGGTGGAGACCTGGTCGACGACCGGGCCGCGGGGACGCTAAGCCCCGGAAGCACCTCAAGGTAGGCGGTTATGGTGGTGGAGGCCTGGTTGCGACCGGGCCGTGGGGACGCTAAGCCCCGGAAGCACCTCAAGGTAGGCGGTTATAGTGGTGGAGACCTGGTCCCGACCGGGCCGCGGGGACGCTAAGCCCCGGAAGCACCTCAAGGTAGGCGGTTATGGTGGTGGACACCTGGTCGCGACCGGGCCGCGGGGACGCTAAGCCCCGGAAACATCTCAAGGTAGGCGGTTATGATGGTGGAGACCTGGTCGACGACCGGGCCGCGGGGACGCTAAGCCCCGGAAACACCTCAAGGTAGGTGGTTATGGTGGTGGAGACCTGGTCGACGACCGGGCCGCGGGGACGCTAAGCCCCGGAAACACCTCAAGGTAATGCAGCACATGGGCCAATAGGACCAAAAGCTGGTCAAAATTAAACTTAAAACCTGTATTTTCAATAGAAATGACAGACTAAATATCTTGGCCATCGGCCATGCTCTATACTCTCGTTTTCTAAAAGTCCTCAAGACAAAGAAAATGGAATAGAGTACATTGATTCATGCAAATGGTGAGAATAAACTTTACGTAGAGCATATAGTTTCTTGGACATCTAGAAGCACAGATTTACACACACAAACATAACAAATATGCAGGCGATGAGTCACAATAACGTGGCTGAAGTATGTTGACCAGACCACACACTAGAAGTTGAAGGGACGACGACGTTTCGGTCCGTCCTGGACCATTCTCAAGTTGATTGTGACTTGAGAATGGTCCAGGACGGACCGAAACGTCGTCGTCCCTTCACCTTCTAAGTGAGTACCATTTAAATCCCGGAACATCGTGGAGGAATTGACGGAAGACATCTCCCGTCACGCAGGGTGCAGTCGCACCTCCACAGATCTCCAGTATCAGCTCTTGATACTGGTAATGGCTCAAAAGGGCCACCACTTACGGGCTATTCATGCCCGTGCCACCTTTTGGCTGGCTTAATCTTCATCAATCAATCAGTGGAGGAATTGACAGTTTTAAGCACATAAAGTTGAAGAGAGAGAGGTTCGAACACTCACGTGGAAGGCCATGTGGTTGTATTCGTGGTCGAGGAAGGCACACTGGAAGTACACCTCGTCCTCGAACTTCTGCTTCTTGATACCGTGACACAGGTATAGCGGGATGCAGGAGGTCAAGATGAGAATCCAGCTCAAGGTGATGGAGTGAAGGGCGTTCTTCTCCGTGCGGACTGTGGGGGGGATAAGACAGTAGAGTATCACGTCAGTATCACGTCAGTATCACGTCAGTATCACGTCAGTATCACGCTACTACGAAAATTGCTACGATTCGCGCCCCGACACAGAGGCGACGGGGGTAGGAAAGAGCCTAACCCAAATCACGTAAAAATTCTAAGTTGCAATCGGAAAGTCGCACAGAGATCGGCAGTTGCAATATACGAAGTTGCAATGTTCACTCTAAGAGATTGGGCGTCTTAGGAATGTGAGAGATTTCTGCAAATTCTCCTTCTAATATGACCTTCCATGTTGAATGTAAGGGTGAGGCTCTTCTGAGTCAATGAATATAAGGGTGACGCTCTTATGACTCGCTGAAGGGTAAGAGTGACACACTTCTGACTCACTATTAATGCCTAAACACTACATAACCTGAACAAATCCACAAGGGCCGTGACGAGGATTCGAACCTGCGTCCGAGAGCATCCCAGATACTGCCTGACTGAGCTACGACATGGGGTCAAGGGGCCTACGAAATCGGCCCTCGTGGATTGGTTCATTTGACGCATCACGCAATTGTGATTTCTGTGTATAATACTTAACTTGAGAACCATACTCAGCACACTACACAGTACTCAGCACACTACACAGTACTCAGCACACTACACACTACTCAGCACATTACCCAGTACTCACTGGTGAGAGCAGCGATAGGGTGAACCACCGCGAGGAACCGGTCGAAGGAGAGTAGGAGTAGCGTGTAAACAGAGGCGTAGGCGGTGACATAGGTAAGATATTGCACAGTCTTACACCATATGCTGCCGAAAGGCCAGGTCGGCAGGATGTAGTCAGAGGCGGTGAAGGGCACACAGAATACTATGAAGAGCAGGTCCGCCATCGCCAGGCTGCAAAGAGAGGGAGATTCAAAATCAGATTTCAGAAATTTTGTTCATGTATTTTATTCTTTTTTTATGCATTCTATGGGTGGTAGTGGACCCCATACCCATCCTGTGGGTGGTAGTGGACCCCATACCCATCCTGTGGGTGGTAGTGGACCCCATACCCATCCTGTGGGTGGCACTGGACCCCCATACCCATCCTGTGGGTGGTAGTGGACCCCATACCCATCCTGTGGGTGGTAGTGGACCCCATATCCATCCTGTGGGTGGTAGTGGACCCCATATCCATCCTGTGGGTGGTAGTGGACCCCATACCCATCCTGTGGGTGGTAGTGGACCCCATACCCATCCTGTGGGTGGTAGTGGACCCCATACCCATCCTGTGGGTGGTAGTGGACCCCCATACCCATCCTGTGGGTGGCACTGGACCCCCATACCCATCCTGTGGGTGGTAGTGGACCCCCATACCCATCCTGTGGGTGGTAGTGGACCCCATATCCATCCTGTGGGTGGTAGTGGACCCCATATCCATCCTGTGGGTGGTAGTGGACCCCATACCCATCCTGTGGGTGGTAGTGGACCCCATACCCATCCTGTGGGTGGTAGTGGACCCCATACCCATCCTGTGGGTGGTAGTGGACCCCATACCCATCCTGTGGGTGGTAGTGGACCCCCATACCCATCCTGTGGGTGGTAGTGGACCCCATACCCATCCTGTGGGTGGTAGTGGACCCCATACCCATCCTGTGGGTGGTAGTGGACCCCATACCCATCCTGTGGGTGGTAGTGGACCCCATACCCATCCTGTGGGTGGTAGTGGACCCCCATACCCATCCTGTGGGTGGTAGTGGACCCCATACCCATCCTGTGGGTGGTAGTGGACCCCCATACCCATCCTGTGGGTGGTAGTGGACCCCATACCCATCCTGTGGGTGGTAGTGGACCCCCATACCCATCCTGTGGGCGGTAGTGGACCCCATACCCATCCTGTGGGTGGTAGTGGACCCCCATACCCATCCTGTGGGTGGTAGTGGACCCCCATACCCATCCTGTGGGTGGTAGTGTATGCTGTTTCTCGGTGTATGTATACACTGGAAATATACTTTAGTCCTGGACAACAGCCTGGTGGATCAGTCCGGCAACCAGGAGGCCTGGTCGACGACCGGGCCGCGGGGACGCTAAGCCCCGGAAGCACCTCAAGGTAACCTCAAGGTGGATTGTGTTCAGGACTTCAGTATACTTAGTGGTTGGTCAGTAAGGTATTGTGGTGGTCTTAATAACCCTCCAGAGGTTGATAGGCCTTAAGTCCAACACCAAACTTGGTGGTTGGTCAGTAAGGTATTGTGGTGGTCTTAATAACCCTCCAGAGGTTGATAGGCCTTAAGTCCAACACCAAACTTGGTGGTTGGTCAGTAAGGTATTGTGGTGGTCTTAATAACCCTCCAGAGGTTGATAGGCCTTAAGTCCAACACCAGATCACACCAAGACACATGCTATTGTGTGCAACCATAAAACTAGCTACAGCTGTATTACATCTATATACATTGTCAATTATATACATTCAGCATTGTAAATTACCCGAATACAATAGGCCGTATAATGGGAGAAAATTTAGATGGGCCATCTCATTCAAACAATCTAGCCATTGCCATCATCACCATTGTTTTATGCACAATCATGATGATGATGTTAAAGATTCGCTACCTGGAACATAAAGTTCCAAGTAGCACGGGCTATGGTGATCCCGCAGTCGTATATATTCATAAGTGGCTGTTTGTTCATGCAAGTTATTGCTGTCAACGAGACTAGTGCCAGTGAAGTTGGATGAAAATAGTGCCAGTGAAGTTGGATGAAAATAGTGCCAGTGAAGTTGGATGAAAATAGTGCCAGTGAAGTTGGATGAAAATAGTGCCAGTGAAGTTGGATGAAAATAGTGCCAGTGAAGTTGGATGAAAATATTACCAGTGAAGTTGGATGAAAATAGTGCCAGTGAAGTTGGATGAAAATAGTGCCAGTGAAGTTGGATGAAAATAGTGCCAGTGAAGTTGGATGAAAATAGTGCCAGTGAAGTTGGATGAAAATAGTGCCAGTGAAGTTGGATGAAAATAGTGCCAGTGAAGTTGGATGAAAATAGTGCCAGTGAAGTTGGATGAAAATAGTGCCAGTGAAGTTGGATGAAAATAGTGCCAGTGAAGTTGGATGAAAATAGTGCCAGTGAAGTTGGATGAAAATAGTGCCAGTGAAGTTGGATGAGAATAGTGCCAGCCAAGCGAAAAATTAACATTTGTCGCCATTCCTGGATTTTAATGAGAAATTTATTTCACTTTAGGAAAGAGATTGCAGCTAATTGTCTTTGGAAAACACGATAGAAAAGTTCTATTAATATAAACTTCATTAAATTTTCTTCAAGAAACCGCCGAAGAAATGGGGAATCTCCCTCCTATGACGAGCTTAGAAAATTTGAGCATAAAATGGAAAATATAATTGATAGCTGATAACGAAGAACGTTCATAGAGTTGCCTTGAGGATAACAAGATGTTCTTTACGGTGTTGGTGGTCGATATCAGTGTGTATTATTAATCAGTATGCGATTCATATAATATGTTGAGTTATTTGGAGTTTGCATTGTAATGCACTTGCAAGTAGCCCTTACCGTGGACGTAGCACTCAGAGCTAACAGGATCACAGTAACTGCACCAAGAGTAAGTATGTAGCCTTGTGCTTCTTTACCCTGGGCTCAGCCTTAGGTATAGAGCCTAATACGTCTTTACCCTGGGCTCAGCCTTAGGTATAGAGCCTAATACGTCTTTACCCTGGGCTCAGCCTTAGGTATAGAGCCTTATACGTCTTTACCCTGGGCTCAGCCTTAGGTATAGAGCCTTATACGTCTTTACCCTGGGCTCAGCCTTAGGTATAGAGCCTTATACGTCTTTACCCTGGGCTCAGCCTTAGGTATAGAGCCTTATACGTCTTTACCCTGGGCTCAGCCTTAGGTATAGAGACTTATACGTCTTTACCCTGGGCTCAGCCTTAGGTATAGAGACTTATACGTCTTTATCCTGGGCTCAGCCTTAGGTATAGAGACTTATACGTCTTTATCCTGGGCTCAGCCTTAGGTATAAAGCCTTATATGTCTTTATGCTGGCCTCAGCCTTAAGTACGTAGCCTTGTGCTTCTATATGTTGGGCTCAAACAGCGAGGAGTCGTACACATAGAACATCAGCATCGTTTGGCCATCACATGGGTGTTGTATCGGGAATAAGTAGGGATGTGTGTCAACGTGTTCTCTTTATAACACGATGCATTTTGACATTATTGTACATCAGTGTTTGGTCTTAAAAGTGGTAGCGGCTCGCGAAATTCATAATGTTTTCCGTTCGTGGGTCCTCTGCTAGGTTAGGTTAGACCACGTTAGTAGGAGAGTTTCCTGACGTTGAGAACATAAGACCAGCATCGAAATTTACTTCCATACATTATAGATCATCAATGCGTTATGTTGGGAAGAGAAATCAATGCTAAAAAGAGTAGCATATTCTCTCACATTGAGTTTACTGTAGTGGACCCCATACCCATCCTGTGGGTGGTAGTGGACCCCATACCCATCCTGTGGATGGTAGTGGACCCCCATACCCATCCTGTGGGCGGTAGTGGACCCCATACCCATCCTGTGGATGGTAGTGGACCCCCATACCCATCCTGTGGGCGGTAGTGGACCCCATACCCATCCTGTGGGTGGTAGTGGACCCCATACCCATCCTGTGGGCGGTAGTGGACCCCATACCCATCCTCTGGGTGGTAATGGACCCCCATTACCACCCACAAATGCAAGGAATTTGGTATAGATCACTGAATACATTTCTACTGGTCGGAATAGCCAAGCAAATCTGGCAGAGAGGTATACCCGGGCGTGTAGCTGTGTAATACCTTCTGTCCTACAAGCTCAGCTCACTCGCAAAAAATGACTGTATATGTACAGGTTTTGATCTGAAAATGTCACCCCTTTATCCGTGTGGTTTTCCTTCGTATTAAATACTGACTTGTTATTGAACACGTCGCGTCATGTTTGAAGCAATAGGTCAATAAATAATCCTGTTAAAGCGATGGAAATTGTAACACAATAGAGTAAATTCATATATATATATGCAACAATGATCACAAAAACACTGATCCAAGTATGCAGAATAACCACATGTGAAAAATAGAAAATGCTTAACGCGTTTTCGGCTAATTCGCCTTCATCAGATCAAAGTAGAATGAATGATGAATTATTCTACTTTGCTCTGATGAAGGCGAATTAGCCGAAAACGCGTTAAGCATTTTCTATTTTTCACATGTGGTTATTCTGCATATATATATATATATATATATATACAATCTTTGGACAACACCCACCAGTGGGACTCGAACCCAGAAAGCACAACTACCTTCCAGTAGCTGGCATAACTAGTATGCTTTAACCCACTACGCCATCAGACCTTACAAAAGAAGTAGATAGTTCGAGATATATATATCTCAAACATCTCTACCTCCCGAAGGCACCAGATGAGTGAGGGGTCAGTCTGCAATTTTCATCAAGCCACTGTCAATGTGAGAGAACTCGTGTCCAGCTTATAAGCCTATACTTGCATAAACCACAAGTGAAGATAAACAATCTTTGGACAACACCCACCAGTGGGACTCGAACCCAGAAAGCACAACTACCTTCCAGTAGCTGGCATAACTAGTATGCTTTAACCCACTACGCCATCAGACCTTACAAAAGAAGTAGATAGTTCGAGATATATATATCTCAAACATCTCTACCTCCCGAAGGCACCAGATGAGTGAGGGGTCAGTCTGCAATTTTCATCAAGCCACTGTCAATGTGAGAGAACTCGTGTCCAGCTTATAAGCCTATACTTGCATAAACCACAAGTGAAGATAAACAATCTTTGGACAACACCCACCAGTGGGACTCGAACCCAGAAAGCACAACTACCTTCCAGTAGCTGGCATAACTAGTATGC